AAATTAAGAAAAAATAAGAAGAAACTAAAATTTATTTCAAAAAAAACTTATATTACTTAATTTTTTATATAAAAGAAAATAAAATTAATTTTTCTCTACAAATTTATTTATAGTTTTTTTATTTTCTTTCTAATTTGAAGAGAAAATTATCGAAATTCTTTTTCCTTATATTCATTTCTTATTTTCAAATTAAATAATTTTTGCTTATTAATATTAGTTTAGCTTTCTTTTCTCTTCATTGCTTATTAATATTAGTTTAGCTTTCTTTTCTCTTCAATATTATTTGAAAATATAAAACAATTTATTTCCTTACAATAGTTTTCATTAGAACTAAACTCTTTATAATTGTGCTAAATAACTTTACATTTGGCAATTGGCAATTTGAGATTGACACTTGTCTGTCGTTTAAAATATACTGCGTTAATTAGTGTTGTGATCTATCTTTTAGGGCCAGATTGATATTAAGATTTGGTAAGTTTAAAGCGATGGAAGTCCATAATAAGTCTAACCTAGTAACCTACTAAACAAATAATAGCAAAATCCATATATCATTTGGGCCTTAGGCCCACTATCCAAGCAGTCTCTATGACAGATTGCCATCGATAAATATATATCCATAGTTGTGATACTCAGCTCGAATCAATTTACATAACCAATAAGATACTTATTTCACAGTGAAAATTTTAATGGAGGCTCAACATCCTTTATTCGTTCAGTAATATTACAAATACTCACATCACACTAATTACTTTTAACTAATACAATCGCTTCTCTTCTTTTTTTTTTTTTTTTTTTGCTTCTCTTCTTTTTTTTTTTTTTTTATTCATACATTTCAATTTAAACTACACTTTCGCCGTTAAACTACATCTATGGCTTTATTTGCTTCCATAAAATAACTTATCATTATTATTAATATTTTTTATAGTCTTATGAGACAAAGACTTTAATATTTTTAACTATATTATAACTAAACAACGAAAAATAAATCACTTGGAAAATATTTGTCACTTGAATTGGAAAATATATTGTTTAGCAAGTTATTTTACGGATCATCTATTAAAATGATGTAGCATGATTACTCATGGACCCTAGCATGTTACTTACCAATTGAAATCCAAGATGAGCCTTGATTCAAATCTCTGCTACTGTTAGAACAGGTAGATTAAAAGCGATGTGAAGATCTTCTGCTTCACGTCCTGTGACTTTTAAATACCAGAGTTTTGGGGACTGGCTTTGAGCGAGTGTGAGCCAATGCAAATGTCTAACCTTGATAGGAATTTTGAGACCTTATAAGCCCCAGCTCTCTCCGAACCCTGACAAGCAAAGAGAAAGATATGTAGAGAGTGAGTTTCGAGGATGAGTTCACTCGAATGTGGTTAAGTCGAAATTCAAACTATTTGGAGGGTGTGATCAAAAGGAGAGAGAAAGAAGACAACAACAAAGAGGAGGATGATCGAAGTAAAGAGGAGGCAACGACGGAGGAAGATGAGGAATGGATGTTGAGGTGGCTGTAGTAGGGCAAAATGATGACATTTGGGGAAAAGAGTGAGTTTTGAGCCCTTGGTGTGTTTTAATATTCAAGTTAAACTAAGGATAGTCATAGTATATGAATTCTACTTTTACAATATTTTATTTAAAACTCTAAGTTAAATTTAAAATTAAAGAAAAAATATACCTAATTTTATAAATTGGAATTAACTAAAGTATAAAGAACAAATAGGTCGATTTGAAGCCTCATTTCCAATATATATATATATATATTTTTATAACATAGTTGTAATGCTTTAAAATATAATTTTTTTGATATTGCTGCACAAATTTATTTATTGTTCTTATTAATTTATATTTGTTTCCCTCCAAATTTTGAAATCTATTTCTACTTCCTAGGCATGGTGGTTCAGGTTCGAGATATTTAAAATTTTGAACTGGAATCGACCCTTGAACTTTTGGTTCCGACACAGTTCAGGCGAACCGACAGTTTGAATTACGGTTCCGATTCGATTCCGGCATTACGCAAATTTTTAAAAAAATAATAAAATTTTGATTTCGAATTCATAATAAATAATAATTTTAAAATATAATTTTAAAATGTTGCAATTTATTAACTAAATTAAATTATTATAAAATTTTAAAAAGGAAAAACTTCTAATTAAACTAACTTAGAAACTATATTACATTAAAGTACAAATTTTGCTAATTCACTAAGATAGAAAACCATAAATGGAATGAGTTGAAATTATTATTTTTCAAATACTAAGAAAATTATTTAAAAAAATTAAATGAAGTAAATTTATGAATGGAAAATTGAGATTAAAGAAAGAATTGGAATTGGATGTAAGAAAAATAAAAAATAAAATAATTAGATAATCCAAATATTTAAGGGAAATAAACAATAGAAAAAAAATAATGAACTATGGAAATTTTGAGAGAATTTTGATTGAAGAATGAAGAGAAGAGTTGAAGAATTAATTGGATTGTGAAAATAAAAAAAAGTCCATCAACTCATTCATATTATTACATGTTTCCATTATTAGTTTCCCAAATGTGTCCCCTTATAACAGAAAAATAACAGCTATTATTTTTGGATATTAGTAATAATTTAGTAAATTACAGTAAATAAATAAATAAATGATTAAAAAATAAATAAAATTTATTTACCAAAAAATAAATAAAAACCACCTATCATATAAAAAATTATCCGTTACACTCTTTTTTTTTTACAGTTGAAAGTATTTTTTTTTCACCACTTTTTATAACTTATATATCATTTTACTTCTTTTCACTATAAATCAAATCAAGTGATATAAATTTTTTTATAAAAATTTTAAGCTACAATTTTTTTATAAAAATTTTAAGCTACAATTTTTTGTGCATCCGGTTCGAACGGGACCGGAACCGCCGGTTCCGGTTCATATTTTAACATACAACTACAAATCAAATATAACGTAAAAATCTGATTGAGCGCTATGCACAATTTATCTTCCTCTCCAATCTATAATTAATATTCATTTCTGCCATTTAATAAAAATTAGCATTAAAAATTTTTTATAAATAAATGGAAGCTACAACACACCTAATAAGATTTAATTTTCGACATGATCATTGATTATAATTAATATTTTTTACATTAATAGATACTAGAGTCAGTAGGTTCATAAAAATTAATTTAAGATTAACTCATCATACAATTAAACAAATAGAAATGTAAAAATAAATGTATTCATTCCCCCAGTAATTTATATTTATTTAACGTTAGAATATTCTATACATTCACTCTAAATTGAATATAGTGACAAACAAAATATCTCTACACACCGAGAAAATTAATACCGTAATTAACTATAATCAGTAATTTACATTTGCTAGAATTTAAGTATGTGTCAATTCGTATTCAAATTACTCACGGATTTTTCTTAACAGACGTTTAATTTACTTTCATTTTTTAATTCAAAAATACATAACGTACAATTATTTACATAAATATAAATTTAAAATTATTTTCTTAAAAATTACATTTGACTCTCACACCTGTGAAAAATAGAGAATATTACATTCCGTAGGTACATGACTATAGTGATAACTTGGACACCAATTTATTCTAATCATCTCATTCTAATCCAACTAAATTTTTTCTATGTATATGTGTAAACTTACATCATATTACATGGAGTGCTTGCTTTGGTGTTGTTTTGGCAAGAAACAGATCTCTGCTATGAGAAAGGCGAATACGAGAGAGTGAAAAATACAATCAAGAAACAGATATAAATTAAAGCCAATCAATATAAGAGATGATATGCTTAGCCAGCATAGTCATCGGTGAGATAGAATTATAGTAATTAAATTCTTTACCACATATATCGTAGAGATTAGACGCCTTGCAGCATACGTCATCATGATTTCTTTTCCTGCAAATAATTGAATTAACCCTATTACATATCTAATAACTCGTCAAGTAGAACACCACTCTTGTAAACAACAATCCCGAAAACGTAGAGTCCTACATCATATATAGAAGCATATTGGGACGACAACAGAAATGGCCCATCAACCTCCTCTATGACACAGAAGAAGGTTTTTCGTTCATATAACATGATAGAGGAGAGGAAAAAGCCATCGATGGGCATTATCTTCTAAAAATCACACGATATCTTAATGTATCTGTGTACATTGCAGCGCGTGGGTCCCTTTTTTTTATTTTCCCCCCAACAGTCTCTGGTCTAGTAACTCGCACCTTGTCTATCACATGCTCAAACCCCCCCCCCCCTCTTGTTTATCTTTCACAACTGGAAAAACATCTCTGAACGTACGTCTCAAAACGCGAAGTCGAGGTGACAATATGAAACCCTATACTGAGCGGACATAGCCCATTTAGAGCCGGCGTTCCGGTGTTCATATGTGTTTTAACGCTATTATGATCATGGAGTCTTAACCGGCCCTTGAACGTTAGGAGGTTTCTGCTTTCGGATTTCAGTTCGGTCTAACTAGTAGGGTTCGATTTTCGAAGGAAGAATTCGACCGCGTGCGATGTTCTAACTACTTCCGATCTAAGATTATTTTATTTTTGTTTTAGATGTAGCGTATTAAATTTTAAGCTACAATTTTTTGTGCATCCGGTTCGAACGGGACCGGAACCGCCGGTTCCGGTTCATATTTTAACATTGACATGAATCTTAACCGGCCCTTGAACCGTCGGTTTCTGTTCGATTTCAATTCGTCAACAGTACGGTTCGATTCCGATTAGAATCGAACCGGTGGCATGCCTACTACTTCCGATCTAAGATTATTTATTTAGTTTTAGATGTAGCGTATTTTTAATTTTTTATTACAGGTTCTTGTAATATACCTTGGAAAAAAAAAAAAGAACTTAAAAAACTAGTGCGTCTGACGCCGTATTCTCTGTTTGGTCACTGAGTTGTCAATTTGTTGAGGCATGGTAAACCTGGCATTATATAAACCATAAAGGACCAATAAGTAATTCCGTACCATCGCAATCCAAAACCAAAAGGGGAAGGGTCTTCACGGAACCCCTATAAATATCACAATTTCCTCAATTTCTCTCATTTTTTCCGGTTTCACCTTTGTCCTTCCTCTTTCCCGCTCTCTCAAGGGTTAGGGTTTCTCTTTTTCCAAAATTTCAATCACAGTAACAATGTCGACATCCAAGAAAGTCACTCTCAAATCGTCCGACGGCGAGACTTTTGAGGTGGAGGAAGCGGTGGCGGTAGAGTCGCAGACTATAAAACACATGATCGAGGATGACTGCGCCGACACTGAGATACCGTTGCCTAACGTGACCAGCAAGATCTTGGCTAAGGTCATCGAATACTGCAAGAAGCATGTCGAGGCCGCCACTGCTGATAAGGACAAGGATAAGTCCTCCTCTGATGAGGCTCTCACGACTTGGGACGCCGATTTTGTCAAGGTTGACCAGAATACCCTTTTTGATCTCATCCTGGTAAGCTTTTACTTTTCTTTTTATTTCTTGCCTAGCTTTCACTTTCTTATTTCTAATCTTGAATAATTTGCTGTCTCTCTTAATTGTGTGTTATTTCTTCGAATGATACAGTAAGTTTTACTGACGTTGAATAATTTTACAAATTCTCCTCATATTGATTTGTGTTCGTTTTTTGTTTGTTGTGTTGCACTTATGAGCCTAGATGTTTGTGAGCACTTAGGTGAAATTCAGGATATTAATAATCCGATTATGGTTTTTTTTTTTAGATTATCAGAAACTGGGTCTTATTTGCAGTTAGAATATATCTACGGGTAATGGGTAGATTATCCATACAATTAGAGACGGGACTCATTTGCGTTTTATGTTATATGTTCATTATATAATTGCAATTTTGTAAACTTTGTAAATGGTTTGGGATTCTGATGATATTAATGTTATATAGAAAATATAGTTTGGTGGATTTCTTGTTGATTGTACCTTTCTATATATTGATAGCTTCTGCTTTACTGTGTTTTTTAGTAATAAACTATGAAACATGAACCTGATTTCAAGTCATGTGCTAGGAAAGGTGATCTTTATGTGTGGGGCTTTTACATGGGTAACTGCCTTCTTTTTGACTTTTCTTTTATATGATTCTGCTTTATAGCCTTTTCTGTTTAATTTGCTTTTTTGCTCACCTACTTTTATCTATTTGTGCAGAATATGTCTTTTACTTTGTGTATTGTGTGTTATCTTTCGTCGTCCTCGTTAAAGATGAGTTGCAATCACTCATTTCTAATTATTTTTGCAGGCTGCTAACTATTTGAACATCAAGAGTTTACTAGATTTGACTTGCCAGACTGTGGCTGACATGATCAAAGGGAAGACTCCGGAGGAGATTCGCAAGACATTCAACATTAAGAATGATTTCACCCCAGAGGAAGAAGAGGAGGTTCGAAGGGAGAATCAGTGGGCATTTGAATGATGAATGTAAAATGTCCTTGCAATGTGCATATGATGGTATGATGATAGGAATGTCGATATACGATAGGATGCTGTTTTTGTTCTGTGTCTCTTAATGTGGAGGATGATTGGAAATTTCCTTTTTATGGTTGACAGCATGTTTCTTTGAACACCTTATTCTAATGTAATAGAGTTGATATCTAAATGTGCATGTCTCAGTTGATTATTTTTTTTCGTTGCTTTGCTTTCTTCCTTCAGCTGGTTGCTATGCATTATGATAATTGCAAATTTTGTTCCTGACTGCTAATTCACAGGAATGTGATTGTTCAATGCATGGTTTAGCTGATGATCAACACTAAGGATGTATTGTCTGCTTCTTTAATTGCTGTCATTTCTTGCTCGAATATGACAGGGTATATCATATGAAATAGATTTTTGATTAATCGTGCAATTTACATAGGATATAATCAATTGTAAAATCAATAGTTGCTTATGAAATATTTATTATTTTTATTGTAAACAAGGAAATATTGAAAGAATATCATTTATTACTTTTTGAAATATACAAAATGACTTATATTTTGAATCAAAATAATAAATTAAAAATGATTTATATTTCGGAACAGAGAGAGTAATCTATAACTGCCATCAATCAATATCAACCGTTGAACTAAGTAGACCCATAGTCTTTATTGGTTTCATTCATTGCTCTTCGCCCCTTCTAGTCTTTATTTTCTCTTTGGAACCAATTCAGTTGTTTCCCCTTGTTTTAGGGGGGCCTATTTTGGTAGAATTGAGAGATTCTTAATATCTTTTAACCAGTCTAAGGATTTATACGATGATGGTACAAAAAAATTGCTTGGATATTTCCATTTGAAGTTTAGATGTTTTGGTACTATGAAAGATTGTTACTCGACTTATTCCCTCCATTCCGTTCGAATTTGAATGTTCTTAATTTTTCATAAGAATTAATGTTTAAATCACCTTAATTTTAAAAAAAATAAAAATAATTAACTACTTTTTAATTAATGCTTATTTAATTGAAACAAAATTTATTGTAGGAATTTTTTTTAGAATAAAATTTATTATAGATATTTAGACAAGAATAAGTTGAAATAAAATAATTAATGAAATAAAATAATTAATGCTATTTTGATTTTCTAAAAGTGTAATCTAATACTACCTTCGTTCCATAATACTTGTTACATTTGTGGTTTCAAGAAATAATAAATATCTTTCCATGTTTACCCTTTGTATATGGCAATAATTATTATTTTAATTTAATGGTTTTTTTTTGAAAAAATTAACATTAAATTAAGGATAATATAGTCAATTTACTCAATAATTGATTATAACTTAGACAAATTTAATGTTTTTCTTAAGGAATGTGAAATTCCAAATGTTACAACTTCCTTTGTCCTATTTATATAGAGAATGTCAAAATTTCTCTAGAATTAATGAGGTGGTCTTTTTGTGAAATTCTTCCTAATTTACCCCTAAAAAGATATTGAAGTGGTCCCCAAATTTCAATAAAAGGTGATAAATGATGAGAGAGAGGATATGCTGCTTAAATAAAGCATTTTATTTGTTTAGACTTTCAATTGCAAAAAAATGTAGGCCGATTAATTGCAATTGCACACTAAAATTTCATTATTAAATTTGGCTTGAAAAAATTAGCGTGGAAGTTGAAAGAAAGTTTGAAGCCAAAATTTTCTACTTTAAATTCTTTATTTTGCTTCTCCAAATTAACGTATAAAAAAGTGAAATTTTAAGTCAAAAGTTTTCAAAACTGAGTGAGTTCACAATTTTAAAATTTAATCCACCAATATCATGGACACAATCCTTCATTTTGATTTGAATACGGTCCCTCAATATTTGCTTGCAACTTCAGAAGATGTGCCCATATTCAACAATCAACCCTTAGATTTGATCTCCTTGTCATTCACTCAATAACCGCCTTCTATAGAATCTGAAACCACACCACCACCAAGTAACGTTCCAGAAGAGGTTCGAAAAGACAACAAAAGGAAAAACATCATTGAAAATGTGAAAAATACAGTTTGTATATTACTATTTTCTGAAACTGAAAAGGGCGAGTCAAATGCTCACAGTATTCGTAAAGTTGCAGACATTTTATCCATATCTACTAAGACAATTTACAGAATTTGGCATAACGTAAAAAATAATAATTATTTTTATTTAAGCAATGAAATTATGGTTTAGATTTTGTATCTCTTTCTTTAGCCATTTAAGGAGTTCATGAGAGTAAATATAAATTGCCACAAATATTTTTATTTAAGCACTGTCGTTTGGAGGAAAATTTTCCTTCATTCAGGAGCTGTGAGTAAATTGCACTGTATGTGCACACTTAAATGTTAAGCATAAGCTTCTTAGTGAAATTTAGTCTGTGTGCATAATGTGCTTGAATCCCATATTTTCTTAATGCACAGTTCAGTCAATTTTTGAACATTAAATGTCAACCACAATAATGTCTGCCACTTTCTTAAAATACTATTAAAGTAAATGTTTAATCTATAAACTAAAGCAAGAGCATATTGGATTTTTTGCTTTGGCATTAGTCCCAAATTACCATATTTGGAAAATTTCTCTATATAAATAGAACGTTCCAAAAGGAAATTTTCTCTATATAAATAGAATGGAGGGAGTATTATAGAACAGAGGTAGTAATAGTAAATCATAAATTCTAACAGATTTTTACTTTTAAAACTTTCAAAAAGAAAAAAAAAACTTTCATTCAAATCAAAATCCTCATTATACTATCTCTGTTCGATAATACTTGTCACATTTAGAATTTCACTTTTGTTAAAAAAATATTAAATTTTTCCAAGTTACAATAAATTATTGAGTAAATTGATTATATTACCCCTAATTTAATACTAATTCTCCAAGAAAACCATTAAATTGAAATAATAGTTATTGGTTATATACAAAGGGTAAACATGAAAAAAATATTTATTACTCTTTGAAACCACAAATATGACAAGTATCTTGGAACAAATTATTTTCTCAAATGTGACATAGAAAGTTAACATTTTACTCTATATAAATAGAATGGGAGGTAGTATTATAGGAAAGATTGGTAGTAATTTAGTAAATCATAAAATTCTCTAACAGATTTTTACTTTAAAACTTTTCAAAAGAAAAAAAAAACTTTCATTCAAATTTCAAAATCCTCATTTATACTATCTACTGTATCGATAATACTTGTCACATTCTATGTATAATTTCAAATCTAATTGTGTTTTAAAAATAATTCATTAAAAATTTATTCCCTAAGTCTTCAATAATATGAGTAAATTGAATCAGTGTAATCATATACCCCTAATTTAATATCATAACTTCTCCACAAGAAAACCATATAAATTTGAAGATAATAGTTATTGCAGTTATATACAAAGGGTAAACATGAAAAGAAATATTATATCTACTCTTTGAAACCACAAAACTTATGACATAGTATCTTGGAGAACAAATTATCTTTCTCAAATGTGACAAGTATTATGGAAGCATGTAACATTTAATTTTATGTATATGAGAAATCTGTTTTCATTATTTTGCCAACTAACTTTTCACACAATTAGTTTTTTATCTTTTCTATCTGATAAAATAATTACACTATTATATTTACTACGTATATAGATTATTTTATAATAATAATTCAAATATATTATATATTGAAAAACACCCAATAATGAGGATCCGTAATCTTTTATTTTTTGTAGACCGTCTTGGAATTTCATTGAAATTAAAAATCAGAAATTTTGACTATGTCGGCTACGAATAGAATATAGTTCTCGATTCTGAGCTCAAATTTGCCAGCGCTCAAGCACCTAAAGCCCACAGAAATATATTATCGAATTATTCGACTCTTGGGAACACACTATAAACAATTCCTTTAGGGAAAATAATATAGAACTCCAGTTACTACATCGCATTATAAAATAATATTTCATGAGTATATGTGCTCTCACTATTTCTCACTGAAATTAATTATCAAAAATCAAGTATCGTATTATTTATTATATGTTATAGTATGGAGAGTAAAATAGGAGCAGAAACATATTACGTCGATTTACTAACTAAATTATCAAAAATAAATCGAAACCTGGAGTCCCGAATATTCAATTATACTTTTTTTCGTGTAACACATCCACTCTGATGGAATAACGTAAAACCAAGTAAAATAAAACCTGCGAACTCTGTAGCAAATTCCGTAGGCCAAATCTTTCTGATATCAGATCCACACTCGGAGTTTTCGAACTCGCAACCGGAATGCTCCATGATCTAGATAACATCGACTTCTAGTTCTTCTGTCTTCTCTCTTCTCTTCTCTTCTTCAGCACGCCCGCCGACAGTCCTCCTTCTCTCACCCCTTCGATTCCTTTTCTTCATTTTTGCCCGACCATCGCTCGACCGAGAGCGTAGGTCTGCAGCGATCGCCTTCCTTCTGAGCGGTCTTTAATAGGCCAATTTCCTGGCCACCGTACCTTCCCCCGACCTAGCACGAGCCTCCAGTTGGCGCGAACGGAACGAGACTGCTCCCCGATCGACACAGTTTCTCGTTCTTCTGATCCCTTGAGCGTATACGAAGGCCGGATCTACTCAGCCAATGTGAAGCTTCAAGGTAGAGCTACTGCATTGTTCCTCTGTCTCTTCTTCTTGTGTAGAACCAATTATCCATCAAGAAACGCACAGGTTCTTCGGTTGGAAGGAACTGGTAACCGCCCGGAGCCATGGACCAATACGACGCGTAGGCTCGCTACTCAAAGCTTTCCGGTTTTCGACCACACCTAGTAGCGGTATTGCAATCTAACTCGTCTAATACCAACGCCTCGGAAAATGGCGAATCCTTTGCTGAATTTCACATGTCTGTGATTGGTCGTATGCTTCGTGCTAGAGGGTTGATCTCACTAAACCAACGCCGGAAATGGAATCCTTGCTGAATTTCAAGTTGAATGGTATGATCGTGGCGAATTTCTGGGCATTATTGATTTTCTGGCCACTGTAAACGGCGGAGGCGACTGCGTTCCGGTGACCGGCCGGCGAGACTCCGGCGAGGCACCAAGGACAGAATTTTCCTCTCTTCGCGAGGATTGTGGAATCGTCACCCAAATTTCAATCGGTACGTTCTAAGACCAATTTCCTATTTTTGGTATAAATGCTTAAACTTAATACTTATTAGTTGATTAAATTAAATTTGAATGAATAATCAA